GTAAGATTTCTCAGGAACTTGAACCAGCTCCATTTTCTGTTGCACAACAACAAAAACATAGTGTCTTTATTTTCATGTTCACCAAACACATCTATACATCAGATTTAACAACTACTTCAATCATCACTGCTCATCACCTGCCAGGACAAACAGCTGAATTAGATTTTTGATTTTTTTTTAAACAGCTACAATATTATAATTGTCAATACTGCAGCAATTAAACTTACCTCAATTCTCCAGATTATAATCCCAGGGCTGCGGGTTACTGCTCGAAATGTTTGGTCCATGTTGCCTGGATGCACTCAGTTTCAGCGGCACTTTGGAAGCTTCGTTTTCCTTTTCTGGAAGACTAAACTGATATTTTAGTGCACTGAAGATAATTTCCTTCTTTACAAACTTATTTACAAACTACAAACCAATTCAAAATCATGTGAAATACTGTTTAAATCTCATAATGCAAGAATTATCCAGCCATACATACCCAGTATCCTTGTCTGTAGAGGTTCCTCTAAGCTTATATGATCTCCCAACAGCTGATTTTCCGACTGATAGCCAGAGACCCTCAGTTCTCATCCTGATAGTGCTCCGAAAAGATTTGCATCACTTTGCATGTTTCAGGAGGTTACAGAGCATTCTGCCCAATCATTGAGGAAGAAGCGAAATCCTGTAGGCAAATGTGCTGAGAAAAAAATGAAAAAAAGGATTGGCTCATATTCAAATAGACACACAGTAACACTGACCAACACGTCTATTAGTTTCCCAGCCCACTCGGTCCAAGACTGCAACATTAGCACCATATATGGATACCTGTGAGTACATAAACTGTGTGTTAGTAAAACACGTGATAATGAGCTTACAGGAGGAAAAGTATGATATTCTGTAACTGTGCAGCGGACAGAATAATATTGTAGTACTACAAATTGTGTTGTAGTATCTGATAATGATATGTTACTGCTAATTACTGCTACTGGTAATAATAATAATTAGCTTTCTATATCATATCATTATATAATAATGTATAGTTTCTATCTTGTACAAAAATACTGTAGAATAACATTACAAATGAAAAATAAATATATACAGTGCAGCTGATAAAAACAAGTTTTAACTTTTAATAGCAGATTTATGACAATTTTATTCACAGTGATGAGTTCACACTGGGATGACGTCAGTGGGGAAACTTGGATCACACGGTGCAACAAAGAAGTTTGACAAAACTTCAGATTGTAAAGGACTCATAACCTTAACATCAATTATTTATTTATATTATTAGCAGTAATAGCTACAATAGGAATTGTAACTTAAATACTCACAAATAAATATGATTATTGTAACTTTATTTTCTGTGTTTCTGTGTTTTTTGTTTCAGGAGGTGATGACTGCTGTTTGGTACTGTGGACCCATCCTCCTGAGTTAGTCGGGACCTGCCAACATCAGGACTTTTTCTTTTAACTAAACTGTCCTCTGAGAGTCTGATGGTGTTCAGAGAATTAAATATTTAAATATTTAAGAGACTGCATGCCGGCATCCGAAATCCAGCCTTCCTCGGCGCTAACGCTGTACACGTTATTCAGCAGCACCACATTTAGTCTGCTTGATCTACATTGTTTCCAAAAGACATGTGAGAGTGTGATTGCCAGTATAGACACACCTACCATTGCCGGTTCATGTAAAGTGGTTTTCCTTTGTGTGATACCAGCAGTTCTGCAGAAGCAGGAGTGGCTCATTAAAAGTCACTTTTTTCACTTTAGTGTCCCTCATGTCATTAATGGTAGAAGATACCCACCAAATTTGGCTCTGATCATGTAACAGGGACAGAAAGAGAATCGAATTCATGTGAAATCACAGGAAAAGAATGAAAAGTAGTGAAAAAAACGAATGCTTCTTGCTTGAATTTCAGTGATGAGCATTCATGAGCCCGCCCACTTTTCCTCATTTAACAGGGAAACATTTTCATATCAGCACAAGCACAGGTACACGTGCCGCTTTTTCACAAACTCACAACACCACATCATTTAATGATATACCCCTAACCTTTTTCATAGACATATCTCCACTGATTGTTCTGACTTGAATGTCCTGTTCTGTTTTGCCAGTCATAAAAAAAGACTCAAATAAATCAACCCGCACAAACAAACCTCAACCGGTAACAGTGCAAAGTGGAGCAAAGCAAAGTCATAAACAAGCCTTGAGCACTGTAAACACAACAGACCTTTAGTTGTAGTCATGCAGAGCGGCAGCTGAAGCATTAGTGGTGTGACCTGAATCATATACATAATTCTGCATTTGGATGTGAAAGCCTAAGAGTCCAACCCTGCACAACAGAGTGGCAGCAGCAGGAGCAAATTGTTTACAAAATGAAGTAGTTTGATGAGCGTGCTACCAGCAGATTTTACCTGTTCAGATACAGGAAAGGAAAAATCTTTGGATTTAAACAGGTCACAGAGGAAGTTTCCACACAGCCTGCTCAGTTCTTAGTACACCCACATACATCGCCTTTGCAGGGTAACATGATTTGTTAAAAGTAAAGTTTGATGTGCAGAATTTAAACACATTTAAATGAAAGCCATACATGTAGAGTATATATTTTATTTATCTGTATGTATGAAAACCCTGAGCTGCTTAACCATTACAGTGGGGAGATCCAGTGACATTTTGCTGCCATGGTTTGTGTCCACTTGCCCCCTCAGAAAGGGATTCTCAATCCAAATGATCCAAATGAGATCCTGATGGGATCAATGTTACGCCTTCACTATCATCAGTAGATGATATTATCAGTGGGCTGGGTGCGAGCCATACAGCATACTGCAGTAGGTCTGTAAATATGAACATGCAAATCGATCCCATTGCGGTCCATAAAGTATGAAAATGCTACTGTTTTGATTAGCAAAATCTATTTACAATTTCATATATACTGGGTGTACTGGATCTACTGGTTTCATTAATTGCCACATGACACACAATCGTGTCATTATACCCATTATATCCATTATATCCATGAGCCATCAGTGTAAAAAGGGATAAAATATTTTGAATCCCACAACTTTTCACACATGGCTTTATGTAACCTACAAAATCAAACAAAGAAAGAATAACCCCCCCTCAAAATTCATGAAGTATACACCTGTAAAACTGGAAGAATATATTATAACATTCATAATTACAGGTGCTCACAGGTTTAACAGGCAACGATATACCACAGTGTTAAATGCAGCGACCCAGTGTTTGACTCTTCCCCCTCTTCACTGCACTATAGTTGTATTTTTAAATGACAGGGGTAAAACAACATACATAGATATAGTTTTAGAGCAAGCTGGAAAAACAAAATAAATACACATTTTAGAAATATGTTTGTATGCCATATCATTAGAGAGGAGACCAGACACATTATCTGCTTCTCTTTCCCTGTAATTCACTGCTCTAACTATGGTTTCTGTTATCCAGGCCACATCTTATTGCTGTGAGAGCTAATACAGCTGGAAAACACTGCAGACACACTTGTAATATTCACATTTTAACTCAACAATCTGAGTTAAGAAAAGGAAAGCACATATACGGACCGATCAGACCATTTTAAACAGTGGAGAAAAAGTCTAGCTTTTCTTTAAACTTTGTATTGAATCAGGCTCCACCCTCAGCCACTGCTTTCATATAAACCAGGAAGGAGTACTGCGGTCTCAGACATAGGTGACTCAGACATACATAAATAAATATATAAATACATGAACACCAAAGAAAAAGAAAAAGAAAAGGAAACCAAAATACTAACGCTTGATAATAAGCTAATGAAGCTGTAGTTTGAATGTGTATGTCACACTTAGTGAAGCTGGATCTTTTGCAGCTGAAATATCTTAGTTCCTAATCACAGCATCTGTCCTCTCGAGACAGATGGTATAACCATGGTACTTGCACTTGCAGCAATGTGCAATACATGTCTCCCTGTGCCTATGTGGGTACTCTTTTAGTCCTTTGAGTGATCAGTAAGGCCAGGAAAGTGCTATATAAACAGCAGGCCAATCGAATAAGCCCTGCACAACTATGCTTATTGATCTATAACAGAGATAGTGCACATGTGGGGGATGTGTAAAGTTAAATGAATCACACTATAGTTATTTATTAAAATGCAATTTTGTGGACATCCATCCATCTGAAGACAGAGCTGAAGCCTATCCCATTCGTCACAGAGCGAGTGCAGGCCACACTGTCAGTCCATCACAGTGTTGAGTTGACAATGGGATCATATTGCTTTACAACCAGTGTGCACAGGAGAGTAGACTAAATCAACAAAATGCACTTTTAGCATCATTTGGGCATGTAAGCATTTTTAAAGACATGCAATAAAAATCTTATTTGTGTCACAGCTACGTCCTATAGGGGTCGCTATAGCAGATACTCTGCCTCCATCTAACTTCACCCCTCCTTCACTACATCCGTGTACCTCCTCTGTGGTCTTCCTCTTTTTCTCCAGTCTAGCAGCTCCATACTCAACCTCCTTTGTCCAGAATATCCACTATCCCACCTCTACACTTGCTCAATCCATCTCTAACTTTCTAACACTCTAACTTTGTCTCCAAACTGCTGAACCTGAGCTGTCCCTCTGAAGTACACATTTCTAATCTTGGTCACGCCCAATAAAAGTCTCATTAAAAAAGAGTCTAAGTATAAAAAACTTTTAATTTTTCAGAGTAAATGCTGCAGAGACTTTGTGACAGAGATCAAAAATAACTGCTGGTTTCTTGCCCCTTATGCTGAAGTTGTACTTCCTTGACTCATCACTGTAATTCACATTTTAGTTCCTTGTGGTGCTGCTGATGTTCCAACTTCCTGAAACCTAAACATGTATTTAAGCATTATGATATGTATAGCTTAGCTTTTCAGTTTGTTTGTCAGGTGTGGATGTCGAAGGTAGAAATAAGAAGCACAGACTGTGCGCCTCCATCTTCACAGATGTTATTGGCTCCTCCCAGACAGCTTAGTAAAACATTCCAGCCCACCTCTGGGAATCTGCTGGCTCCTCGGCACACTCTAACTGAACTTCAGTCAGGACTTTACAGGAGTTAAAAGAGACTGAGCTGACACAAAATGAGAGGACTTGTTGTCTTGGTAACTTTGGCGTGCTTCGCCACAGCTCAGCACCAAGCACTGATTGACTACTTGGAGCGGAGGCTGCTTGCTATTGAGGTAAGACTCTCTTTACCTCCCTGCCGAGCCCTGCGCTCCAGAGTCCCTCTGAAAGGAAACTTCTAGGGACAGAGGCAATGGAATGCAGATGTGGCCGAATCCTGGAGAAATTACTGGAAAATACAGCTCCTTTAAGGGTACGGGGACTGTGGCATTTTTGTCTGAGTTGTGAGTTAGAAATGGGCCTCTGAAGTTTGCTTAGTCAAGGTATACGTGCACGTATGTTACCAACAAAAAAAAAAGAGTTTATGCAAAATTGCATCAGTGAAAAAACTTTTTTTGAGGGCAAGTAGTTTTCTGGCATCACAAAGAGATATTCTAAAAAACAAAAAGGGCCATGCAGGGCTAACCTTTTTTTCTATGATGGACACAAATGTATTTGGCTTAATTGGACAAAACTAAAACACAAGAACAGACTGACTGATTGTCAGTCATGTCTGTAATTTAATTTAAATGAGAAGCACGAACCTTTTTAACACACTTTATTAAACTGAACTCCCAAAAATGCTATTTACCCACATCTAACAGTCTCAGCTCATGTCATGTTGAATGATTACCTGTGGGAAGGATCTCTTTTCATTTCCTTCTTCCACAGCCGGGTCATGGGTCAGGCTCGACCACAAAGCACCCAGCTGTATTCTGCATTCAGCTCATAGACACTCGAGCTGGGTGGAAACTTGCCACGTGTGGGCTGAAGCCGGTTGTTTGATAGATGGGTTTTATTCTTATTATTATGGCTTTCTACCACAGTGTTTACTGAGCCTGAAAAGGACATCAAATTATGGTGTTTTCATTGCAGTCAGTGCTCTCTAGAAATCCACTCAAGCTCACTGTATAACACACATCCTATTTATTATTCTGAGTGCTATACAAACAGGGAATACATGTCTGATCATATCTCAGTTATGACTAACCACCTTTGTTAAAACAGGACAGGATCTCTCTGTGGCACGAGCAGACCACCCGCTATGCCTCCGAGCTGCGGGAGCTGAAGCAGCAGATGGTTTCCCAGCTGGAGAACCTGGACAAAGAAAAAGAGGCACTGAGGATGAATATAGACAGCGTGGGGACCAGGGTGGACCGGGTCGAGCGGGAATTAGACTATCTGGAGACACAGAATGGGGCTCAGCCGTGTGTGGATGTGGACGACAAGCTAATAGAGCAGCAGGTGACTGTGGTGAAGGAGAAACAGAAGTCCAAATATTCACAACTCTCAGGTGAGAAATGAAATCTTTACTAAATACCCTGATTTTTTTTTATTGGGGATGAACATGACATGCTTGAGCAATGCATGAATAATGTGACCAACAGTTCAAGTCAGCTGACAGTTTATTAGGTATACCTTACTAGGACCGGGTGAGACCTACTTTTGCCTTCAGAACTGCTTTAATATTGGTGGCAGAAATTCAACAAGGCGCTAAAAACATTCCTCAGACATTCTGGTCCATATTATCGTGACAACATCACACAGTTACTGCAGATTTCTCAGCTGGACATCCATGATGTGCATCTCTGGTTCCACCAAATCTTGCTCTACAGCATTGAGATCTGGTGACTGTTGAGGTTATTTGAGTACACTGAAATCATTGTCATCGTCTAGAAACCATTTTGTGGTGGTTTGAGCTTTGTGACATGATAATTGCACTGCTGAAGCAGCCATTAGAAGATGTGCACACTGTGGTCATGAAGGGTCAACAACAAAACTGGGGTAGGCTGTGGTGTTTAAACAATCCTTTGTTGGTACTAAAGAACCCAAAGTGTGACAACAAAGCATCCTATAAACCATTAAACCACCATCAGCCTGCAGCCTGAACTGTTGACACAAGGCTAGATGCAGCCATGCTTTCATGTTGTTTACAGCAAATTCAGACCCTGACATCAATCAAGACTCATCAGACCAGGCAACAGTTTTCTATTCGTCTGTTGTTCTATTTTGCTGAGCCCGTGTGAATTGTAGAATCAGGCCTCAGTTGCCAGTTGCTTACCTGTCAGGAGTGGTGCTTGATGTGGTCTTTTTCTGCTGTAATCCATCTTCTTTGAAGTTCCGCATGTTGTACATTTGTTGTCGCCTTCCTATCATTTCAAAGCAGTTTGGCTATTCTCCTCTGACCTCTCTGTAAACTCTACAGAGGACTGTGTGGGAAAATCCCAGCAGATCAGCACGTTCTGAAATACTCAGAAAGCACTCAGCCCATCTGGCACCAACAACCTTGCCACGTTCAAAGTCACTGAAATGACCTTTCCTCCCCATCCTGATGCTGTTTTTAAAGAGGCTGCCTTAAACACGTCCACATGTCTAAATGCTATTGCTGCCATGTAATTGGCTGATTAGATATCTGGGTTAACAAGCTGTTAGACACATGTACCTGGTTGCCAGTAATTGCATATTTATTTCATTGTCTATGAGAGCCAACTCACATATATATTTAAAAAATTCACAACTCGCCCTGCAAGGACCCGAGCTTTATCCTTAAAGCTTGGGTCCTTTGCCAGAGGCCTGGGAGCTTGAGGGTCCTCTGCAGTATCTTTGCTGTCCCAGGACTGTGCTCTTTTGGACAGAGGTCTCAGATGTTGTTCCTGGGATCTGATGGAGCCACTCGGCCAGTTCACGGTTCACTGCCCCAAGTGCTCCGATTACCACTGGGAATTGGGTTGTTTTAAAAAAAAAAAATAATAATAATGTTAAATAGCCAGTTTGAGATGACAGAGAAAGAGATTCTTTCTTTCCCGTCCAACTGAGTAGATATTCTATTATTAAAAATCATAAACGATTTTTGATAACTCCAGTAATCATTACTGCAATTTGCATCATTTCAGATGAATGTAATGCTGCATTAAATGAAAGTTCTTTTATTCTTAAAATTACATTTAGTGATCCCAAGTGTCACTTAAGTGTTAAGTGTTTTGAGAGGCAGTGCCTTTTAGTTTTTAAGGAATGTTCTAAAAATAGCTTGGCACTGTCGTTTTTAGCAATCTGTGTAAAGCTGGAGGAAATGGTGCAAACTCTCTTTAATGTCAGACAGACTCACATTTGGTAAGCTTGTGCGTTTTTATGGCACCAGGACTGCATGCAGAATTCATTTACAAGCCAGGAAAATAAAATTAAAACAATTAATTACAGTTAACTAAAGGAATGTGTCACCAGTGCAAGGGTGTCTGGCTGATGTAAAAACAATGCAGAATTAAAAATACAAGCAGCAATGATTGTGCTCCTGCACTTTCATGCATGTCGAGTTTTACTGGAGTCAAGATGTTTCCTGCACTAATTTGGATGCCATGTTTCCTGGATTGTAACTGGTTTTGCATAAACAAGTTACCTAACACGTCCTGTGTCCATTAGTTGGTGTTTGAGAACACCCACTAATTATATGTCATGCTGCTGTTTACCATGTGTGGAACCCACAATGAAAACCTGATGATCATTTACATTTAATGATGATTATCACCTACAGCTGATTTCCAGATACCACGGTGGCATTATGAGTGTGACCTAATACTGACACGTAGCTCGGATTCTGCACATGAAGTTTGGGACAGATTGGACAGTGCACATTTGAGATCTAACAATTTTTTTTTGTTTTGTTTTGTGTCAAAGGATTGATTTTGACATGCTGTAATAAACAAACTCCTCTATGAAAAGCTCTTCAAGCAAAAAAGCCAAAAACTTCAGTTTTGGCCATGCTTCGGCCCTCAAATGATAAATAATTGAGAACACAGAAACTTGTTTGTGGGATAAATTGATCCCTGAATGGGCTTTCTCATGGAAGTACCCGTCCTTCCACAATATGAGAACAGCCATATTTATAATGCATATGAGCTAAATTTACTTTAATTTTCTAATAAATGAGTAGTTTAATCTATGGGCACAGGAACATTTCTCTCTTTATTGGTTTTTCTTTCATGGACAGTAGACAAACTTATTAATCACACAAAAGGAAAATGATGCTTTATAGCCAATTTAGCAACTGGCTGTTTTATCTAATTAACACTCAACTGAAAGCAGAGCTGACGCTGATGACTGGTGGGAATGTTATTAGTTTTTCATGGGAACCATGAATGTGTGTGCCACATCTAATGGAAATAAAACGAGGTGTTCTTTCTGAACCACAGCTATAAATAGTACAGACGTGACTAGAATATTTGAAAACTGCCAGCTGTGTCGAGTAAAGCCTGTCCTGCTCTCTGTTTCAGACTGCAGCGACATGATCTCCAGCATAAAAGCCATGAAGATATTGAAGAGAGTCGGAGGGCAAAAGGGCACCTGGACTAAAGACACCAACAGGGCCTCTGGGAAGGTCTACATTTTTAATGGGACGGAAGACGACATCATCCACGCGTTTGCCTCTGTGCAAGACTTCACCCGCTCGTCGGGCATGTCTCTGTCCAGTACAGTGAAGCTGCCGTCAGCCTGGAGGGGAACAGGCCACGTGGTCTACAACAACTACGTGTATTACATGAGTCAGGCTGACGAGTTAAAGGTGGTTAAACATGACCTGCAGAATAACTCTCTGACTGACAGTGCAGTGTTTCCTGTGCAGGACCACGTCCCCGTGTATGGTCTGACCCCAGAGACGGTGATTGACCTGGCTGTGGATGAGGAAGGCCTGTGGGCCATTTACGCCACACAGCAGAATGAAAGGTACATCTCTCTGGCTAAAATGGACACCACCTCACTGGATATTGAGCAGATGTGGGACACAAATTGTCCCAGAGAGAATGCAGAGGCGGCCTTTGTCATCTGTGGCACTCTGTATGTTGTGTACAACACCAAGCAGGCTGGACGCTCACGAGTACAATGTGTGTTCGACGTCAACGACATGGTGACCAGTGAAGATGCACCGCTGGTTTACTTTCCAAAACGCTACGGATCTCACTCAAGTCTGAAGTACAATCCCCACGAGAAGCTGCTCTACGCCTGGGATGATGGCTACCAGATCCTGTACAAGCTTACCATGAAGAAGAAACTAGAGATCTGAGCTTCTCTAAACAGCCCTAACGCTGTATTCTGAGAGGTTTTAGCTTCTAAACTACAGATGAGGTCTCAAAACTAACGATTTTGTAGAATTTAAGATCATTTCTCACCTTTCAGGGAGTTTCAGAACAGCTTAAATATAAAATCTTGGACTCTAACATTGTAATCCACTTCTCATAAAACCTGGAAGCTGCAATAACACAACATTTACTGTAGGGACTGTGAGGCAGGAGACAAACCTAAGAAATGAACAAGAGTCTGTGATGATTCTTTCATGCTACATAGACGTTATTAGGAAGTGACAAAGCTTCATTACAACAAAAAGGAAACGTGAGTGGTTCCCCAAGTGTTGGCCATCGCACACTGGTGGGCAGTTAAGGTACTGTTGGTGGGCCACAATATGATATTTACAAAAAAAAATAAATGTTAAAAGGAAATACAAGAAAAATAAATCTGAGGATATGAAGTAAAGAAAATACTCAACCTTTATTGTCGACACTACATAGATGGTACAAAAATACTGCTTGTGAGATGATCAGGATGAAAAAAGAGGACGAAAACAGCCAAGATTCAGGAGTGTGAGACTGTAATTATGCATCATAATTTTCTTTTCACAAATTCAGAACTAATTTCAAAATGCTCAGATTTATTTTGTGATATCTGGTGTTTTGTGGCTACCTTAACCCCACTTCTAACGAGACTACACCGTGCTTCCATCTTTAGAGTTGTTTCTCCATCTGCTGTTGAGTGGACCGAAACAGATATACTGTACTTACCCATGATTAGCTGCTGTCTAAGTTTCTGCAGTGGCTCCAGGCACTTTTGTGTGTTCACAGATATGAGGCAAATATTCAACACATCCTTTTAATAGCATAAAACCTCTGTCAAACCTGCCACTTCTATACCTGATATTTGTCATATCAACATGAATCTTTATACCCCAAGTGCTTATCAACTGAATCCAGCTTCTTGAATCTTCCTTCTCAGCTCATTTGTACTGACTCCATTGGATTTTAACATGACAGTTTTGTGTAGCATTCACAGTAATCTTGTCCGTGCTAGTAAATACACAACATTAATTACACCCTAGGAAATGTTATCTTTTGTAGCTTGTTAATTTAATATTTTTTAGTGTTCAGATTTATATCATAAGCACTGTTAACATAAAATACAACCACTGTGTAAGGTGAGCTGAAAAATGTAACTCCGACATTAGGATACTGTATGTGCAAGAAACCGCTAGCAGGCTAGCACCCTGTGCATTATCTGCACTCTTCCCACATGTTGAGCACATGTGCATTTTTGCTAAATACCACCCAAAAAATGAGCAAACAGCACCACTATTGCGATTACTATTCTTTGATGTTTATTAATTTATATCTGAACATAACTTTCTTACTGCCATTTCTTCTACACTTATATCTCCTTTTCCCCCGCTATCATATTTTTTCCTAATAACTGTTCATTATAAAAATAACTGGCAGACTAACCATTTTAAACAAGGCTGTCAGTGTTTTTCTATGTACAGTATATAAAGATTGATATAGAAATATTTAAGCATCCATGTAAGATTTGACTCTGCTACACAGTTGCCGCATTGAGCGATGTGGAGCGTTATCCTGCTGGAAACAGCCATCAGAAGCTGGGTACACTGTGGTCATAATGAGATGGACCACAGACACAGATATCAAATGGTGTGAAAATAATAGTGGTTGTTGAATATTATGTTATTCATGATTATAATAAATCTGAAGAAATTTAATTGAATTATGAGTGCTTTATTGATTTTAGTAACGTGTGTTGTCCTCTGGGGTTAAGAAGACCGCACAGGACAAAGTGGTGCAATAGGGACAAACTGTCACGCCATACTGCTTTCCAACACATCTCTGATTTTGAATGTTTAAAATGTGAAGTCAACCAATTTTGTCGTGTTGACAACAACACAACAAAACAGGCAGCACAATTTGACCATCTTGACCATGTTTAAATGCACTGAGCTGTCGTCATTTGACTGGTTGATTCAGCAGCTGAACAGGTGGATCTAACAGAGTGGCCAGTGAAATATTTAAACTTCCGTTTTGCTTCACATCGAATGTAATTTGTAAGACTGCTTTCCTAACCAGTCCAAAAGTCTTTGGAGCTATAATTTCTCATATAATTTTATCATTAATGATTGCCTGACATTTCCAAGAATGATAAAATTACAGAATCAAGCTTTTTAAAAACCACATTCATCATAAGTACTTCAGTCCATCTGCAGGCTGCAGACATGGTCTTGTATGCTTGATTGGCCAAAGCTTAATGAAGCATGAAAATAATTTCACAACCAGACGGTCTGTGAGACTCTGGTATTTGAGTTATATAAAGCGCTTGGTAAAACTTCTACATCTGTCTCAAAGTGTAAGATTTCGCTCACCCGTCCAAAATAAAAATTGGTCGAGTTTATAATGTATCAATAAAACCAGTAAAGAAGTTTAAACAAGTTTATTTTTTCCTAACTGTAAATAAACATTTGTAAAAATGGCTTAAAATTGACAGTAAGAAAAGAGGCAACAGTTACATAAAATCTGAATTACAATACATTTGGAACATTTTTATACCCGACTGAGTTTGCTGAGTAATCCTGCCATTAAACCTGAATCCCACCAGTAATTAAATGAAGGTGCACTTTTAAAAATCAATTAACGATAACTGGGATTCAAACCAAGCTAGAAAACCACTGCTTTCATCTCAACTCTCTCATTGGAGTTGTGACCGATTCACTTCAGCCCATCGTAATCAGCTGCTGCTCACCCACCGTTATTTGCACTACCCCACAAACTTGTTTGATCACGTTTAATTCTAACTAACCTATTACTTCAAGATGGACATGCTAAAGACAACATACCATTAAAATTTGGAAATATAATGTTATACAAATAGAATGGGTCTAACCAACCTGCACTGACTCAAAGCCCATCATAAATACATCAAATATGACAAGTTGCATATAAATATGCAAAATAATTATATTGAAAATTACAGTTAAATCCTCAAAACTATGATAAACATTGAAACAGTGAAACTCTCACGACAAGTTGCTTCTCGAGGGCTGGTTTTAGTTACTGAAGAATCCAATGTATTCTGTAGTGTCCACTTTTTCCCGTCCGTTTGAGTCATGAACCTGAAGCATGGCGAGTCTTTATTGCTTAGATATAGCTGGCATTAAAAGAGCCTGTTATTTTGCACGACTCAGAGTCTGAGGTGGGGAAGTGGCATGGAGACATCACGGAAAAATCGATGCACAAGAGCATTTTTGGCAGACAGCCTTTTGTTTGGATCGTAGTTCAGCATTTCCTGTAAGATCGAAAAAAAAAGAAAGAAAAGCAGTCAATGAATACAGCCACGTGCTTCAGTCAAAAACTAACACAAGTCGTGGAGTTCATGACACTGTTCAGGGTGCACAGTGGTCAACTCTCTAGTCTGAAAGGGACACTTTCACAGGAGAAAATATTCAGATAGGCAAAGCAGAAAGAAGACCAACTTCTTTGGCCATGAATATATAATGAAAGTGCCAATAAATCAGAAATGTTCTCACCCCGAGCAGTTCTCTTCCATCTTCGTCAAGAAGAGGCACCACTTTTGATAAATCCTGCCGAGCCCACTTGGGGAAGGTTGGTTTGTAGTCAGGCATGGATGTGACTCCGGGCCAGACGGTCTCGTCAGGCGTCCCCAGAGTACGAAAGATTCGGAATAACTGATCTATCTCCGAGTCACCGGGAAACAAAGCCCTCCTGGTGACCTGTGGGCAGGGAGACATGGTTGGTGTCTTTTGTTCATTTTGGAGCTTTTTCTTTTTTGCTGTTAATAATTAAAGTATGTTACCATTTCAGCAAAAATACATCCAAGACTCCAGATGTCAACAGCTGTGGAGTAGTACTTGCAGCCCAGGAGAATTTCTGGGGCTCTGTACCAAAGTGTTACCACCTGAAAAATATCACAGGAGTAAACAGTTGTTGCATGCACTGAGCTAAGAAATTGTAGGTGCCATTAACCTACATAGTAGAGACCACATGAAAGCAGAGCAAGCACATCTGAAGTTCTAGCCGTTTATAATCTTATAACTCTAACATTTACTTAGGTAGGTTGTCAACGCCTTACTTCATGTGTATATGCGCGGACGGGTACTCCGAAGGCTCTTGCCAGGCCAAAGTCAGCCAGCTTGATCTCACCCTGGGCGTTGATGAGGAGGTTCTGGGGCTTCAGGTCTCGATGGAGAACCCTGTGAGAGTGGCAGAAAGCCAGGCCTTGCAGCAGCTGAAAAAGATAGCTCTGCAAACACAGCAAAATATGCTCAGTTGAGTCAAGCCTGACTTCCAGAGTACAATTCTTAGCAGTATTAACTGCTGAAAGTATGAATTCAAATCTGCTGTGATGGTTACCTTTACTAGAGGCAGCGGGATACCAGTGACTGAGGAGGAGTCCATAAACTTTTTTAAATCCTGGTGAAGAAACTCAAAAACAAGATAGAGCTTGTTCTCGGTGTGGATAACATCGCGTAATCTGCAACATGTTGACAGGTAAGTTGGCTTGAAAAAAAAGCAACATCAAACAAGTAAAACAAGAATACTGCAAGCATGGTTTAGACATAGCTGTAACATAAGCACTTACTTGACAATATTTGGGTGACTGAGTTCTTTGAGAAGCGATATCTCCCGGATAGCTGTGCTCGGTACGCCCTCTGTTTCCCTGAAATGAACAAACGGTAAAAGAAACAGGTTTTTATCTAAGCCAAGCATGTACTTTAGTATCCTGGCAGTCTGACAGCTGATCAAGTCCTGAAAGCTGAAAGAAACAACACTACACCTTTAAGCAGCGCACCTTATAAATTAGCACAGATTAGACACGCTAATGATTTAGTTTTCTCTGGTTTGAAACAAAGGTCACAAAGCAAGCAACTTTGACTAACGGCACATCTGAATTTTCAGTAAGGTTTTCTGATGCAGCCTGAGGAAAATGATGGCGATTTAGATCTGGGACACTTTACTGTTATTTACGGATTGTGTTTTTATATTATAACAAGTTACACGTTAATACAACACAACAAGCTCATATGAGCTGTAAGGTTATGTAGGTGTCCTATGTAAGAACTGCTCCTTCTGTGGCCATGAAGACTTTGCTCTTATGTCCAGTGTGGTTGTAGGAAGTTAACTGATGAAACAGTCATGCCCTGATGGAGCCACGAGGTGAGTAAACTGATTACATCAACTCTTCGGCACAGTAAAACTTGAAAACTAACGTTAGCCTGGTAGCCCGAGGATAAACAACAATAGTTTGTTTACTTACGTGTCCAGCCTGATTTTCTTCAGAGCGACAGTTTCTCCCGTCACTTTGTTCTTGGCTTTGTAAACAACCCCATACGTGCCCTCTCCAATTTTCTCAACTTTCTGAAACGAGTCCATCTCGTACCAAGCGCAGGTCTTTAAGCGGCAATTAGCCTTTTAGCTCTTTGTGTCGAAGCTAACGAAAGCTGGGTAGCTACTGAGGGAAACCTCACATATAACCATGTAAGTAACTGCTGCTCAAGGCTTCTTCATCCGGTCTGCACGCGCCACAGGTTTAAGACTTAATTCTGACTGAGGATAAACTATCTCAGGTCAGCGCGAAGTAGCTAAAAACAAAAGAAAGAGTCATTTGCAGACCCTGTTCATAACAATATCCGTAAAATGTTTGGTTTTGCGCGGCGGTGGCGGCTCGTTTGAAAAAAATCAGAAGCAACACAACAGCGTTTCCCGCGTTAGACTGGAGGAGTTCGTTTTTGTGTTCCAGACACACCGATAGTTGTAGGTGGGCGGTAGTCTAAATGCTTTTCTCTTCCACTTGGGTCCTATTTGAAAAATTGTTGTGCATGGTACTGCTCTTATCGATTAAAGAAATAATTTTAAAACATTTTTTTATCGGCTAATTTTAAATTCTTAGCTTCTGTTTAACAAAAGGGTGCAAGTCGTGATATAGAGCGGTGTTGTATCGGGATAACAAGGAAACAGTTAACAAACACCCTCACAGGTCACATGGTTGAACGGCGACGTCGCTATACGTAAACTACGTCGGAAAGACACGAACAGATTATAAAGTGTACAGAACGCATACTATTTACTGTCTTTCTATCTATGAATGTAGCCACAATTCACAGTTTTATAGATGTGTACTGCACAAATATGAACAATTATTTAAACACATACACAATCTAATGCAAAATATAAATGCAAAATAAAAAGCATGAGCAACATTGTGTATAGCATAATAAAAACATTAGTTGTCTTCACATCTATGATATATCTTCTGCATCTTATATATACAGCAGTTTTAAAAGTTAGAAAGCTGTTTTCCTAATCCTAAGAACTTTTACTTTCTATAGTTATTCAAACATGGTGAGATCAAAAATAAATAAATAAATAAAAGAGAACAATTTGCTCTCTTCAGTGGCAGGAAGTGTTTGTAATGACCCACTAGATTATGGAGCAATGCTTTCCAAGTTCTGTTTTTTAACTGTTTTTCTCTTGCTCTCTGTTTTGATTGAAAAACTAAACTAATTAACAGACATAGTGATGGATCTGATATAGTGTAATAGGACACATCTGTACTCAAATAATACCTTTGAAAAAGGTCTGGTAATGTGTGTCCACCTGCAGATCCTTTGTGTTCTTTCAAAGGGGCAACTGGATTTAACACTTTCTTCACCTCA